CTCTCTCTCTCTCTCTCTCTCTCTCTCTCTCTCTCTCTCTCTCTCTCACACACACACACACACACACACACACACACACACACACACACACACATATATATTTACAGCAGCTTGAAGGGAGGGGATTGAAACTATATTTGGAGGGCAGATTTGACACCCCTGCCAAAGAAAAATCATAATTCGTGATAGAGCACTTGCTTTAGCATGGAGAATAATATCCCAGGTTCAACACCTGCCATTTTCAGGTGGGACTGGGAAAGAGCCCTCTTGTAGAGATTCCTGTTGCCAACCGGTCTACACATTGGGTGGACAATATTAGACACTGTTGCTGTACAAGTCCCATGGTTTGTAACCAATGCCAGCGGAAGCTTATAGTAGGCAGGAGTCCAGAGATATCTGGAAGTCTCCAAACTGAAGAAGCGCTGAGGACTAAAAAAGAGCAGAGTAAGATGGCAGTCATGAAAGGGAGCAGGATCAAGAGAGAGAAAAGAGCTCAGACAAGGTGAAACAAGACTGGGAAACCCTGAAGCAACACCATGATCAGAAGAACCAGAATTATAACCAGGCCAGGTCCAGAAGAACCCATGGGAGGGATTGCCTAAAGGTGGCACTTTGCTGAGACATCTCTGTTTCACATCCCCAGACATGCAGATGGCTGTGCCTGGGTCTAAGCATTCTCGTCATCACTCTGTGTGGCCTGCAGCACTTACAGTTCCCTGCCCTGAAATCAAGGTAAAAGGAAGGGAGTGTGCCAGAGTAACAAGAAAGGGGTATACTTGGTTCATATGTAATAATACCTTGCATTTGAATATTGCCCTGTGTGTCCATCATGGGGAGAAAGCACAAATGGCCTCGCTTATTTCCAAGCGAACACACATCAGGCTGGTCTGTTTTGAGCCTTTTTTAAAAAATGAAATTAAGATTCTCATATCCTAGTTCACGCATTGGGATTATTTTGGCAATATCTGTAGCCAGTTCTCCGGCATGGGTCCCTGTTGGTTTTAAAAGTGATTAATACCATATTCTGTTGAATCTAATCATCTATTTTAAACAGACAATCTACCTTTTCCCAGATGGAGACTGACCCTCAATTAGTCGAATTCTTCAGTTACAGACCATTTTAGAAGTCTTTATGTGAAAGGTTTCCTCAATGTAGGTGTTTTCTCCTTTTCTCTCTCTCTCTCTTTCCCTTTCTTTCTTTCTTTTTCGAATGCCCACAGGGAACAGTGCTGTAAAATACTATCCTAAATTGTTCCCAGGCCTCATGACGGTCTGATTAGCTAAAAAGTCAGAATGAGCAACCAAGCTGGGGGTGATGGAAGAGGGCAGGATTTTGTAAATGTGGAACAATGTGACAATGATCAAATTACCAAGGTCCGTAGCAGTGTCAAGTGCCCCGTTAGGGCATTTTTTGTGGTTGAACATCACTGGATGACATCCAGAAAAGAAGTTGGAAACACACACAATAAAAAAAATGGCTGACCACTTATTCAATGCTACAGTTGAAACAGCTTTCTAACTCTGGCTGGACTGTGTGTGAGGTGAGGTGCGGTCTGGTAATATTACCAAAGAGAAACTTGACGTTGTGTGAGCTGTTTTAAGCGTCCTTTGATCAGCTGTCTACTTTTTAATAAATCTGAACTCCTAGTATGTTTTCATTTCCAGGCTTTTTGAACAGTTAAGGCATTACTGGGGTGGAACCAACCTTAAAAAATGAGGGTTTTTTTGGACTACAGCTACCAGAACCACATGGGCTGGGGAACTCTGAGATCTGTAGATTTAGAAAGTAAACTTTCTAAACTGTGGGACAGAAAAGAAATTTATTAAGTTCCCATTTCCTTATAAAAAAAATTTGCAACTCCCTATAACTACCAGTGGTATAAAACCCATGTTGCCTCAGAAAACAGTACATTTATGGAGTAAGTGACATGTTTTTGTGAGTTCAAAAATGTTTGTAAAGCCATGTGGGCATGTGCATCTGACTGAGAAAGCATATCTTTGGAAAATGCACACAAACATGCTTTAGCCAGTGAGGAAGATATGTGCACTGGGGAAATGCATACATAAAACGTATCCTTAAGGCACACTTGCATGCTATAACGTGTGAATTTCACTGCAAAAATAAAAATAAGTCTGATACAGAAGTTATCACATAAGCTGATGCAGAATTGGCAATAAGCTCATCAAAAGTACACATTTTCATAAAGACTACACTGCCAGCAAAATCAACAAATATCTTCCCATAAAATCTTCCCACTTTTTCTTTCATCATTCATTATTCAAGGATGCCTGCCTTGACATTATTGTAGGCCTATTCAGGAATTATCCATTCATGTTTACTCACCATATGTTCAGAAGAGTTCTCTAGAACTCTCTTCTCCACCACCACCAGACCATCATCACTTCCTCCAGTCTCCTGTATGTGGAGGAGCTCTCTCTGTGAATTGGGACTCTGGAAAATGATAATAAAATTTATTTGCAATTATGTAATCATAAATATAAATAAATAAATGTATAGCGTATGCCCAGCTCTTAATCTTTCTAAAATGTGCTTCATATGTACAGTTAATGATAACATCGTCCTCCTCATCCTCCACCTGCTGCTGAACTGCATGTTCCTTGATGAATAGAACATGCCTGTTGGACCATCCACTCCCTCTCCCCTGAGCCTCAAACAGAATCTGAGAGTAATTTAAACTCAATCTGGGTTTGCATTTGAGGGCCTTCCTTCCAATCAGTTGGAGAATGACAACCTCTGAAGTCAGAATTGTTTTAACCAAATGCATTTAAGATTATTATTCATAAACACACATGTTATGGCTTCGGCTCTTTCACTTCTTTCTTTTTACAGCCCTATAAATCGCATGCAGAACACAAAGGCCCCTGCTTCTCAAATAAATGTTTTGCAGCCGTCGTAAATTATCTTTTTCTTGCATTTGTAATGAAAGAGAGGGTGGGGGGTAGGGTAGAGTGACTGTTTGATGTTTTATAGCCTCTTCCCTAAAATGTAAAAATATGGGAGATGGAGCCAGATTTTATCTCGTCGGGAAATAAAAAGTGAAATTGTTTCCTACTTCAGCTTTCTTCCCCTCCTCTGCACCCAGTTCTCAGTTTTTGCAGTCTCAGGAAATATTATGGTACGGTTGGGTATAAAAGTGTACAGTATTCACTATATGTGAATACCTTAGTACCAGTTTTTGGAACTGCCATCCTAAAAGAGATTAGGAAGCTTTAAAAAAAAAACCAACCATGTTTCAGGACTGTCCCAAGATATTTTGCTGCCCGAGGCAAAGAGTGAAATGACACTTCCATCTATTCCACTTATAGAAGCCAGTTGGAATGGCTATTGGATCTTACTTCAACACTGGTGATGAGGCAGCATCTTTGTTTCCTGGGAGCAGGGAGGGGGGTAGCAGGAGACTAATGTAGGGTGTCAGGCAGAGTGTAAGGAACACACAGTACCATTTTGTTCTTCGACAGAGGGTGGCAGCCAAGGGGCTTCCCTGATGCTCCTTTCCCATCATTCAGTATCCACCCCTTGAGGGACCAATCCACTCTGACTAATGGTAGAGCCGGCCCTGCCACCTTTTATCATAGGATCCAGCTATCTCTGTCACGCCCATCCCTCCCAGGGACAGTTCTCTATTACAATACTCCTCGCTTCTGGTTTTGGAAAGAATTTTGAGGAATCCCTCAAAGATATTCATGTATGTTTGATACAGTTCTTCTTCCTCGAATTTTCAGCTCTGGAGAATGAGAATTAAGAAGAGAGCGTAAATCTGTGTCTTGCCACTAGAGCACATATGTGCAAAATATTACCAATATTAAAATATTAAACCAGACCAGATCAGACTTTAGAAAGATTCCTTTTCTGGACTCCAATTCCCAGAATATCCTAGCCAGCACTGGAGATCCTTCGAGTTGCAATCCAAGAAATAATTTTCTTCCTAACCCTTCTTAGGGGAGTTTTGATCTGAATGAGCGATAGCTCATTTAGAGGAAAATTCCCTTCTCTGCCATGCTATCAACAGGCACTCTCTTTTGCATCTGAATTCTCTGGGCTGAACTCGTGTTGTACCGTCAGATCCTTTGCATAGCATACAGTCTGGGAATTACTGAGTGTCAATGTATGCAATGAGAATACTGTACTGGAAATTTGCAGAGTGTGACAGGGACTAGCCATAGAAATCACTGGGTGACTGTGGCCCAGGCCTTCTCTCTCATCCTGACAGGACCTCACAGGATTATTGTTCTGAGGATAAAATGAGAAGAAGGATGAGGCCCATGTACATCGTCTGGAGCTCCTTGAAAGAATAGTTGGACATGTGCATGACCAATAAATAATTATACCAGACAACAGGCCAGGAAGAGCTTTCCCTAACGTGCAATGGGTCCAGGCAGAAAAGCAGCTGAGAAAATGTCCCTTGCCTGTCAAGCAGTCATATGTGCTTTATTGTTATTTTTTAAAAATCTTGTGCTATTGAAAAATTTTGTGTTTATTTAAACCAGTGTCGCCTAACCCAGTGCTTTTCAGACATTTCCGACTACAGCTCCCATCAACATGGCCAGGGGTTAGTTGTTGGTTGCAATTGTAATCCAAAATATCTGAAAAGTAGCACCTTGAGGAAGACTAGATTACACGCCCAAAGAAGACGACCCTGCCCCAGCCGGGTTGTCCTGGAAGCCGTCTTGGGGGCGGGGGGGGGGCGGAAACCTTCCAGCTTCCCTAGTTTGCAAAGCAAACTTTTGCCTTGTACTATTTACCTTGGCAAATGCCCCACCAGATTGATGATCTGTAAAGTGGATTTGTTATTTGGCTGTTTGCTTTGGCAGCTCTTGAAAGAGAGGGTTTTTCTCTCCCCCCCCCTCGATTACAGTCCCAGATGTCATTGCATATATTACTGTTCACTCTAAGTTTCTCCTAAAGTTTTAATTTCCACTACAAATGCCATTAAGCTTTCCTTCTCTTCCCCCCCCTACCCCGTTTGCACCACTTCAGATACCAGCAACCAGGCTCCTTGATTCTCTTACTGTTATCTTTATTGTCAGCTTCCTTGGGAATATAAGAACGAGCAGAGAAAGTCTGCAAACAGGTTCTATGCAATGCTGTCAGGCATCTGAATATAATTAATGGTTTTTCTCTTAATTGAGAACATAGCAGCTTGTGTTCGTTGCACAAAAGGCCATCCATACACTTCAGTGCCGTAAGGCACAGGACAAGGACAAAAATGAGGTGCTATTTTATGCAAGGCACAGCTTTTGTTTTGAAGGCTAAGTTTCTAGTCCTTGGGGGTACTGAAATTTCAGAAGCCAAGGCTTGTGTATCTGCTCGATACAATATTCATTTTTGGGGCACAGGACTCCAGCATCATAGTCCATCCCATGAGAAGCTAAATCAGCACACAGTGTATTTCAGTATACTTGTTCCCTTCCCTAACCTTACCAGTGCAACCTGCCTTGACGCCTGGACCAAAAAGTTTCCCAACCTCTCTGGAGCAAATTCTTTAGGATTTACAGAAAGGATTGCGGAGAGAGAGAGACTGCAAGACAGAAGGCTCACCAGTTCTGACAAAACTACCAAGAGCCAATAGAGGTTCATCATTAGATCACAGTCCGTCCCTTTGGACCGCTTGACACATTCTGCTTTGCCAGCCATTTTAAACCTTTTAGGGGATACAACGCAGAAAGCCATCGCCCATTCATTGTACTATCTTCAACTCCTGCTCTGTAGCTGAAGAAGTGCTTTCCCCTCACCTGTAACCTGATCCCCTCTAACTGGAGATGGCAGGGATGGAACTGCAGACCTTCCTTATGTGTGAAGCTGGTGTTGCAACTATGCAGAGCAGCCATGGATCATGATTCAAGCCCTAACAGCTCTTTACTCCTGAGAGCTGAGCTGAAATATCATTGAAAAGCTTCTTAATTCATTCTTCTCCCATTTGTCTGAACCATCACTGAGGATTTAGGCGTCTTTGGGCCTTATTTCATTTTTCAAACTTGTCTAGGCTGGATTGTCCATGTCAAGTGAGGAGTGCCATCAAGGTAAAATTGGGGGAGTAGTGAGCCAGAGAAAGAGACCAAGGCAGCTTTGTCCCTTTGGCATTCCCCTACTAAAGGTAAAGGTAAAGGTTCCCCTTGACAATTTTTTGTCCAGTCGTGTTCGACTCTAGGGGGTGGTGCTCATCCCCGTTTCCAAGCCATAGAGCCAGCGTATTTGTCCGAAGACAATCTTCCGTGGTCACATGGCCACAATTTCTTTTGTTTGCTATTTACCTTGCCGTTCCCCAAATGTAATGGAAACAAGGCTAACAGGTAGAAAGAGCTGGGATGTTTTGATTGGCAGGGATGTTAAACATCATCTGCCACTCCTCCCCCTTCCATCGCAGCTTCCTTACAGTTCTCTGAGTAGCTGGCAAAAGTCTACAAAAGTAGATAGTGTTATTATTGATTATGTTTTACATCCCTGTTTCTAATGCTCCATTTTTGGAATGGCTTTGTCTGGAATGGACTGTTGAGATCCATTAGCTTCACAAAAGACCTGTTCTTGGTGGAGAGGAAACTGCTAGCTTTGGCTTGTTCATCTGGATCAGCATGAGAAATTAGATTTTTAAACTTTTCCTTGGGGCATGGTATGGGGACTGCCATGATGAATGCCTGTTTTTGAATTTTCACCATTGTATCACTGCCACTATGCAGCTTTCTAGATGCAAAGGGATAGTGCTCACATATAGAGAAGCTGACAGCACCTATCCCCTCTATCTGAAAATCTTCCTTCTACCAAATACTGTAGCTCTTTCCAGCCTCCTAGATGTCCCACTTGCCAATATCTGTTTCGGACAGTCCTCAACCTCTCCAAGGACTCTGCCTTTAATGCCTCTGTCACTCCATCAATGCCCCAGTGATATTCCTCCAGACACTTTCACGTCTCCATTCTTTGTCCTGCCAGATGCTAGACGCCAGTCTGTGTGTGCAAGAGGATTATGGACAAGAACTACCTGGGTGTATTTTATCTCTTCGTCGGTGCCTCCAAACCCTTGTTTCTTTCACAATGGGTTACTTAAGGCCCCAAACACTTAAGCTTTCTCTTTGGTGTTTACCAAATTCCCTGAGTCTTTATAAGGGTGAGCCTTTGAGAAAGAGAGAGGCTGCAGAAGAGGTGACAACCCGAAATAGCTGTGATCATGAGCAAACATGTCTGTGTTTTAAAAAATTAGTATTAGAGTGGAATGTTTGAGGCTTGCTTTGTGACAGAGAGCAGCTTAGAGGAGGGAGGTGGTCAATTTTTGTGGATCTGGGGACCAATTTGCTAGAATTCACTTCTGGTTTTGAAAAGTCGTATTTTAACACACACGGGAGGCCTGCAACTTGTTTAGAAGGTGAATGTTTAGAAGTTTCCTGGTGGCTTCACAAAGGGTGCAACTACACTGAATTACCCTTGCTGTGGTTTGATTCACGGCCTGTATTATGTTTGTAATTGCAGTCAGTGCTCACACAGGGGCTGCGGATTGCTTTGGAGTTTACCATTCATTCTGGATGTGATGCAAGTTGCATTCCAGTCCACAGCCCCTCCTTCTTTCCTTCCTTCCTCTGCTCCCGCCTCTGCAGTCCTTCCTTTCTCTAGTCCCATCTCCACTGATCTTTTTACAGTTCCCTGTGAAACTGCTTACTCAAGCCTCAGACTACAACATTTCTCAAAAGCTTTTCTATAGGAAAATAATATGGAGAAGTACTTCACAGTCTAAGAATACAGATCATCAACGGTTTGAACAGTAATTCTGCAAAATATATTATAATCCACGTGTCAGAATAATTCTACAGCAGGGATCGCCACTTTCTTCTTCCCATCCATTACTCTTTCCCATACTTTCAAGTAATGCATGCAGGAATCTGGTCACAATTTATCATGGCAATAGTTTAATTTATTTATTAGTTATTTATTTATATATATATTTATCCCACCCAACTAGTGGCAGAGCCACTACTCTCGGTGGCAAACTTTATGTAATCACTTTCAGACCCATCAGTTAAGTAATTATTTAAAGCACTAAACTTTTGCTTCACAACAAATGGGCCTTCCCACACGATCTGAAGCTTACTACATTTGACAGCATTCAGGACTAACACCCAATCACCCACATTAAAATCATGGTGCTTCACTTTTGTATGCCCCCCCCGGGGGCCAGAATATCACGCCCCGCCTATATCACCAAAACACCACCTACAGACATACCCTTTGTTTTTATAAGAACATACCAGAACTCGCCTCATAAGGAAAAGCCAGTTTGACTCATTCCAGCTTGAAAAAATAAAAGCCCCCCAGCAGCAATGGGGGGGGGCTGAAAAGGCTGAAACAATTCAAAACACTGTGTGTGTCATCCGGATACTTCAATTTCACCTGGTTTATATGTGGAGTACATCCCACATCCCCAATCTAGATGGGCAGGGTAAAAGTTGAAAATAAATAAATAAAAATCCCATGGACTTTGACCATGCAGTCACAGTCAAAGTGGAAATACCCTTCTTTTTTTTCTTCTTCTTTTCTGAAGAAAACAACTATGGGATAGGGATGTGGGCGGCTGGAGGAAGGACTTTAAAAACTGTCTTGGGAACAGCATTCAGCCTTATGGCTACACTTTGACCACCCATGACATAGGGGCTGAGAAAGTTACAATTTTTTGAGCTGGAGCCCCCGCCCCCCGAAAATAACTCTTCTGAGCCCTGGAACAGCTTGTTTCTCTTTAGAGTGATACTGGAGGCTTTGGAGCCTGTTATAATCAAAGCAATCTCTCTTGTATGTGAATTTACTTTTGGTGGGGAAGGCAGAAACTCCTTGGCCAGATTTCTAGTGGAAGTCCCACTCTCTTCCTCCAGCCTCTTACTATATAATAAGCAAAATGAGCTGATTAAGGACTCATTATGCTCTTGAATAGTTTTCTTAACTGTGTAAGGCAACTGAAAGAGACAGATAGATAAATAGATGGATTCTATGTTAAACGTTTGCGGATTGTGGGGGGTTTGGATGAACTGTTTTTAAAAAAGAAACACTTCCTGTTCTTTTGTGTTTGAAGTGTCTTTGCACTGACCTGTCAGGGTTGGATTCATCCATATGGAAGTATTTCTTCAAGGTTTTTTTTAATCATTTAAAGGAGTGGGGAAATACAGATCCGATTTGCAGATGTCTCTAGTTTTGTTCACAGACGACAAGTCCGGCTCACTGCAGGTTTCTGTAAAAATGAGTCATGATGAAATGAAGGGGCACGCATGGTGGAAAGAAGCTACACTTTTAATTGCTCAAGAAAATGTTCCTGCTATCATGAAAACCATTCAGACTGTGGTGCAGGGTGCTGCATTCAGCATTCTGAAGAGTCTAGCTTTATTTTTATTTTTTTAAGTAAGCTCTTCAGTCTTGTGATGGTAAAATGTAGGCTTTCTGAAAACTCAGAAAGCTGAAGAATAAGAAAGAGCTTGGTGTTTAAGGCTTGTATTTAATTCATTAATTTAAAAGATTTACCACCCAGTTGGCAAGCAACCATTGAGGCAGTTAACGAACATAAAAATACAAAACAATCACAAAACCTCATAGAATAAATTCAGTTGGAAGGAGCCTATAAGGCTATCAAGTCCACCTTCTCAATGCAAGAATCTAAACCAAAGCAGATCTGACAGGTAGTTGTCCAGTTTTCGCTTGAATGATTCAGGAATTGAAGCACTCACCATTTCCTGAGGTAATTTGTTCCATTGTTGTGCTGCGCTAGCAGTTATGATTTTTTTCCTGATATTCAACCAACCAAACACTCCTTTGCTTTCCCCCCATTAGTATTAGGTCCAGAATTGGGGCGGGGGGGCTAATATTGAAATGGTACATTTTGCATAATCTCTGCAATTCTATACAGTGTACAAAGAATTCCTTTGTCCTTGATTTGGAATTTGAATGTGAAGTTTGGTGCAAAATGTTTGTATATGTATTTTAATGTACACAACCATCGTAAGACATTTACTGTACTAATATGCACTGTTCAGTTATGTAATTTGCTAGAAACATAACTATTTTGTGACAGTTCATCTATGCCCAGCGGGCTTGCCCATGTGATTTATCCCTGGCCACCAATACCACCAATATTTTTAGACCTTGATTTTAAATTTCCACTTTGTTGGTGAAACTTTCTTCCTGTGCACTAGAAGCTCTAGAGGTAAAAAAAAAAACTTATGATAGATAGGGTCCTTTCTCCTAACTCATTCCCACTCTCTCTGACCAGGCTGAAACTCAGGTGGCTGTACATAGGGTATATTGCTGACTATACTTTAATTCCCCTTAAAAAGTGTCTTTTAGCACTGGCATTATAGTACAGTATCTGCCTTTAAAAGAAAAGAAGGAGGAGGGGGCAGTCTTACTATTCTTGTTTTTTATCTTAAGATCTGTCAACACAGCAAGAAATTCCAGCTTGAATCAGTTACAACAATGAGTTACAATTTGAATATGTACCCATAAAAATAAAAATAAAAACCAGAAGAGTTATAAATGCCCTTTTAACAGTATCTCTTTAAAATTCTGTTATTTATGTAGCAGCACTTATTGTGAAAAGGAGCTGTGAGTGGGGTCACTGAGCAAGAAAGTGCATTTATTTAGCTGAAGGTCATACTTCTGGCCTCACACTCCACCCCTGCTGCCCCTCATGCAGGATGCCCTCTCCCCTGAAGTGACTAACTATTCTCTCGTGTTTTCCTTTATACCAGAAGCATCATCCTCATTCCTCATGGATCTCCTCGTGCCCTAAATTAATGGCTCTCGTTCAGTGGTATATTTAACCAAAGCGGAATGCTGTTTCAATGTATTGAAGGCTGTTTCAAACATTTCCTCAAGAATCAAGGTCCTAGTCAACCAAACACAACCCTAAACTTTCTTCTGTGGGGTGACAATTATTGTTACAATATTTTATTGTAACAATTATTGTCAATAAATGATTGTTATATTTTTGAGCTACTGATGCTATTCTTCTTATTTGTTTGTGTTTAATTCCAGTAACAGTACAGTGGTGCCCCGCTTGACGATTACCTCTTTAGACGATGAAACCGCTTCACAATGAGTATTTTGTGATCGCTATAGCGATCACAAAACGATGTTTGTATGGGGAAAATCTGTTTGACAACAATCAGTCCCCTGCTTCAGGAACCGATTTTTCACTAAACGATGATCTAAAAACAGCTGATCGGCAGCTCTCAAAATGGCTCCCCGCTGTTTTGCTGACCTCATTTCGCAAGACAGGGAGCGGAAAATGGCCACCACCATATGGAAGATTTTTGCTGCATGAGCAGGTATTTCCCTCATTGGAACACATTGACCATTTTTCAATGCATTCCAATGGGGTTTTTTTTCGCTTGACGACGATTTCATTGTACAGCGATTTTGCTGGAACGGATTATCGTCATCAAGTGGAGCACCACTGTACTGCAGTTTTTTTTAATGTTCCTTCAAACTTCAGTGACAGGGGCCATGGAAAAATACATGTGCCTTCTTAGAAAAAGGCAGGGTTCTGTATCATGGTAGGCCTCAGGTTCTTTGAAAGTGTGATTGGTGAAATATGAGATATAAAATGTAGAGAACGACTAACATCAACGACTGTGCCCTTTCCAAGGATGTAATGAATATTCACAAATTTTCATTTCCTCATTACAGATGATTCTGTGATGAAAAAAACTGTTAACTGCTGTGAGAGTTTTGTGAAAAGCGTGTATTTTGCACAAAATACCATTGCCAAAATTCATACTGGCTAATTACACCAACATAGGTGCAGTGATGTAAATTATGGCAGCAAATAGCCACTAGCGAACAAGTTGCCATTTTTATGCGACAAGAGGGACAACCTTTTAACTCGCATCCGTTCACTACCGCAGTTTACATGATTGCACTTCTGCCAGCATAGCTAACCAACAGGATTCTCATCAGTAATTTTTGCCCAAAAATACCTCCATGGTTTTTTTACAAGGAAAGTCCCCCAATGCTAGTAGTGGACAACAACTCTCATAGTTTTGCCAGCACAGAGAACCCTTTCAAACTGTTTGTTCTCTTGTGCAAGAAAGTTCTTACCATCCTGTTGTCCCTTATGCCAGCAGCTTTGTCTCAAATGCCCATAAATGTCCTGCTTTCTTGAATGCCTCTGACCTTTCCTTTCGCTGCACCGGTGCCAAGATTTTCCTCTGTCCCTTATTCGAGGATCTTGCTCCCAAAAGGAGTTGGGGGGCAGAGATTGGTTGTATACAAATGCATGCTCTGTGTTATTCTTGTTATTCTCAAGGCCTTCTTCCTGCTTCCTCCATTTGGCATCGTTTTTCTCCACTTAACTGAGGGCGCGCATGCCCAGTCACACAGACTCACGAGGGTAAACTTGCCTGCCCTTTGGAGTCCAGCCTCTCCCATGGAGGAGAATGGGATGAGTTAAGTGACTGAAAGCCGGAGGCTGGGATGTGCCGGCTGCAATTATTTTTTCACTCCATCATCTCACCTAGCGATGCCACTCTGCCTTATACAGCCACCAGATGGCTGATGAATAATATAAGTGACAAGGGCAAAACCTCTCAAATGCATTCAGAGGAGGAAACTTTGAGATGCTGAGGCCTGGCTGGTCCTCTGGCTCAGGACCAGCTGTGGCTTTTTATTATTTTTTATGCCTTCCATCAAAGCCAGCAAAAGTCCAGGCCGAGCTGTTGCCCTGATGGAGCCAGGGTTTCTAGGAAAATAAGGCTTCCTGGGGAACCACAGGAACATACCTGTCTTGTTCTAGTTGGAATTCTTTCTCATTGCCTGGAGCATCTGTATCGTCTGTGGCTTCCCTAACCTAATGACCACACTAGAAAACATTTCTGAAGTATCATTTGGTCCACAAAGCCCTGTGCAACTGTTCATATCCTTCAGCACGACCCAGCAAAGTAGGTCAGCCTTGAGATTGAAAGAGAGAGAGAGAGAGAGACTGAGCAGGAGTAAGAATCAAGCCCATACATACAGTATTTGGACATAGACAGATTAAAACAACCAGTATTCACATGGCACATAGTTAACCTGTGTAATTTATTACCACAGGATATTGAGATCGCCACTTACTCTGTGTGTGGGTTTACAGCCCACCAGGTTTGACCTGCGATATTTAGGTTGTGGTATTAGGGTATTCAAGGGATGTGGTGGCGCTGCGGGCTAAACCGCAGAAGCCTGTGCTGCAGGGTCAGAAGACCAGCAGTCGTAAGATTGAATCCATGTGACGGAGTGAGTGCCCGTCACTTGTCCCAGCTCCCGCCAACCTAGCGGTTTGAAAGCATGCAAATGCAAGTAGATAAATAGGGACCACCTCGGTGGGAAGGTAACAGCGTTCCGTGTCTAAGTCGCACTGGCCATGTGACCACGGAAGATTGTCTTCGGACAAAACGCTGGCTCTATGGCTTGGAAACAGGGATAAGCACTGCCCCCTAGAGTCAGAACACGACTGGCTAAAAAAATTTGTCAAGAGGAGCCTTTACCTTTTTTATTAGGGTATTCTGCTATTATTGTCAGAAAAGTCTATTAATAACAAAAAACATAATGCTTAACTTTTAAGGGAATTCCACTCCCCTGCCAAACACACCTTTGAAATGGTTGTTGTGGGTTTTTCGGACTCTTTGGCTGAGTTCTGAAGGTTGTTCTTCCTAACGTTTCACCAGTCTCTGTGGCTGGCATCTTCAGAGGATAGCTCTCTGTGGTCTTTGAAACATTGCCTGGCATGTCAGGGCAATTGGTGACATCAATGATAACATACCAAATGGGGCTTTGTATGGCGGTGAACTCTACTTTTCTGCCCGCCTTCTGCTACATGTGCAAGGCAATTTATAAACTATATTTTTAAAAAATATTTTTCTCGTTACCACTATCACCCTAAAGTCATACAGCACTAATTCAAATGTTTACAATGTCTTGTCATTTCAACACTGTTTTCTTTGCTAAAGAAGGAGCGGTGTGCATGCTGCGGCAAAAGGGATGGATGGACGACAATGGCAGAGAAGGGTGAAAGGGGTCTGTGTGATGTGTGGACACTCAAAACCTACCTTCCCCGGATAATTAAAAATTTCTTTATGGATTGTGACAGTGATTTAAGGGGCAGGGTGTCTTTATTTGTCTCTCTTGGTATAAGAGAAAATCTTTGTTATTCCAAACAATCAGTGAGGACCTGTCAGGTTGTTTTTAACCCGCCCACCCACTCTT